CCCACCCCCACTCCCTGTCTCTAACACAGACTAATAGCAGAGTTTGCACTCAATAAGTGCTTGGTGACAGCACTTGGTGTGGAAGCTACTGGGTCTCGAAGCTGTGGTCTGAAGATTCCTGGTAAAATGGAGACCATAATACCTTACAGAGGGTTCTAAACTCAAGATAGAAAGTGTCTCCCGTAATGCCGAGCATGTAGCAGGCAATGAGTAAATGGTAGTTATTATTATTAGAAATGCTACCTTCTTGCTATTTTCGCTTCGAAGTTTGGTATGGCAGCCGCACCTCATTTCTTTCACAGTGAATGGCCTTGGTGCATCCCCAAAGCTGGGGGTCAGAGCACTGCTGGGTGGTGAAGGTGCTATTAAAAAGCCTGGGCCAGAAAAAGCAAATAAGCAGTCCTGCCCCAGGTTAGCCCAAGCTCGGATTTCCTTGTCTGAATGCATAATGATAGGAAGGGGGTTGTGTCACAAAAGGAGCTGTTTTTGTTTGTCGTCCAGGCCCACTAATCTAAACATCTCTCACTTCTCAGGAATTATTTTAGGACCAGGAAGCAGCACGCTGTTTATTGAAAGAGTTACAGAAGAGGATGAAGGCGTCTATCTCTGCAAAGCCACCAACCAGAAGGGGTCTGCGGAAAGCTCAGCATACCTCACCGTTCAAGGTAAACAGCTGCTCCAGAAAGCAACCAGAAACTGTTCAGACATCTATTTCCCTGTTTGTTTAACTTTTCACCTCCCAGTCTCCTGTTGCCCCTCCTGTCTGTGCCTTTCCCTGACCTCCTGCCCCCTTCCCCTGTCCCTCTGGGGAAAGCCTGTCTAGTTACACTCGGCAAGGCTGAGGTGAGGAGGACACTGGCTGGCCACCCTTGAGAGCCATTTGAACACAGTCTCCGTGGGGGGAGTAGTTCCCAGAAGAAAGCCCGCTGCTGCCAGCATGATGACATGACCCACAGAGAATGACAGGAGTGGCCACACCTGTGAGAAAGAAATCCAAGAAGGAAGACAATGGGTGTAGATGGGGGGAGGGGAGGGCCAGACACTGGAAATGGTTCGTTTTTTTCCATTTCCAACTCGCACGAGTTAGACATATCTTGCAAACTTTTCGTAAGCTGGCTTTTAACATGAAGGAGGCTGCAAACTATCAGAAAAAAGCAACGCATAATAAACAGACCACATAGGCTTCAGATAGCTTATTGAGTAGCAAAATCCAAAGAGGCCTAATCCTACGCTGGATTGTGGCCATGTGGCTTCCATTTAGAAAATAGTTTAGACCTCAATTTCAATTCTCTGGTGCCAAGAATCACCCAAAACATAACAGTTACAGCATCACAAATTATTAAATTGGCACCTCTTAATGTAATTACCTATGGCACATTAAAGTTTTACATGAAAAGATGGCATTTGTTCAGCAGCCTATTTCCAAATGATCCCCAGTAGACTTCAGAATAGGTATGTATTTTGGGGGTAGAAACTAGGATGAAGGCAACATACAACAGTTCTTCTGCCCTGAAAACTTCCAAAGCTTAAAGATTGTAACTCTGAGAATTCAGACTCCTTTTAAAAAGAATATCAACCACCTTCTTTTACAAGGAAATGATTCTATAGATTCTCCTGAAAATTCTGCAAGTATGCTGCCACAAACTTATGGTTTCAGAAAAAGTCAAGGGTAGCATTCCCACATACTTTTGGTAATGGCCCTTTTTGTCTCCCAAATAATCCTTGTTTTAAAGTATTATTTCAACTTTTCTGCTTACATAGGAAGAAAACAATTTATTAAGTGTGAATCTCTCTTTATCAACTCCTTCTTCAAAGGACCATTAATTTATCACTTAACAAGGACTCCAGCTGTGACTCTCGGAGGGGGGGGGGGGGGGAGAGTAGCCACATCAGGCCAGGGAGGGACCTCCATCTGAGAGAGGGGTAGCAGCAGAGAGCAAGGAACACTCCTAATCCTCCGTCCAGCAGGTATTTTCCCCCATATCCTCGCACAACCCTGCAAGATACACAGAGCAGTTCTTACAAAACCCAGGGAGGAATGAAAAGACTAACCTAAATCCTGTAGCCAGGGAATGGCGGATTCGCAATGACTCACTCCAACCCTCCACATAGCTGCCTTCCCTCGCCAGGTGTCTGACCCCACTTCTGTGTGAATGTGGGTTAGCAATGGCTGCGAATGAAGCCTGGAGGTCTTTTGTCTGAACAGCTCCCAATTTCCTTCAAATCCTCCTTATCCTCCAGGCCAGTTTAGATGCTCTCTACCCTGTGATGTCCTCCAGGATGAAGAGCTGAGTCAGATGTTCTCTTCTCAATCTCTTCTCTGTCTCCCACTCCATGGTTCCTGAGTCTTTAGTCAGGCTCATTTTATTCTGCATTTTATTACTATTTAGTCGTTAATATGTTTTTCTTCCCTACTGAATCATAAGCTGTGTCTGACATGTCTTTATATCCCGTACCCATGCAGGAGACTAATATTTATTTAGTGCCTTTATGTGCAGCACTTGATATATGTATCCCATTATGGGCTACACACTTGATATACATATCCTTTAACTTCATAGGAGTCTAAAGGAAGAAGTATTATCTTCAGTCTACAGATAGGAAGATGGAGTCTCGAAGAGTTAAATTACTTGCTCAAAGTCACACAATGAATAGGTAGTGAGGTTGAGACTTGAGCATATGTCTTTGGAAACTGTAGGTTTCCATCCTTCCTCCATTCTTCTCATTCCTGAAGTGCCTTTGGAACTTGTCTGCAAGGCCTTAGCATAAAATTGAGCTTTTAGACTCAGTTATCCTATTATTTGGTTTTCTCTCTACCTGCTTTTAGCTTTCCTACACTGATTCCTTTCCCACTAATGTTATGCTTTCCTGGAAGTCAGACAGGAATAGTGCTATCACCAATAAGTTCTGAACGTTTTTATCAGCCTATTTGCTCTTGAGGAAAGGGGAGATAATTTTCACTTGAATTGCCCACATCAGCTGCCATCGTAGATGTTCTGATCCCTATCATCTCTTGACATAATCTCTTAGCCTCCCAAACAGCCTATCCCAGTGGTCAGCAAACTCATTAGTCAACAGAGCCAAATATCAACAATACAACGATTGAAATTTCTTTTGAGAGCCAAATTTTTTCAACTTAAACTATATAGGTAGGTACATTGTCATTAACTTAATTAGGGTACTCCTAAGGCTTAGGAAGAGCCACACTCAAGGGGCCAAAGAGCTGCATGTGGCTTGCGAGCCGCAGTTTGCTGACCATGGGCCTATCCTCTCCTCTCAACATCCTCTAATACACTCCCAAATCTAGAGTGATCTTTTTAAAATAACAAATCATATGACATGTTACTTTCCTGCTTCAAATCTTGCAGTGGTTCCCGATCACCTATTCCCCTCATGCAGGCACACAGGTCCTCTGTAGACTCCTTCTCCATCCCCATCCCGTCTCCTTCCCACAAGTCCCACACTCTGGCTGAACTGCATTACTTGTGATCCAGTGAACACACTGTGCTCCTCCTAGTCTTCTGCCTCAGCACGTTCTTTCCCTTTTGTCTGAACAGGCTTCCTTCCCATCTATTCTCCCCCTGGACAATCCACTCATCCTATATAATAAAAGGCTAATGTGCAAATCAACTGAACAGTGGCACAACTGGTTGCTATGATGTGCACTGACCACCAGGGTGCAGACGCTCAACGCAGGAGCTGCCCCCTGGTGGTCAGTGCGCTCCCACAGTGGGGAGCGCCGCTCAGCCAGAAGCCCTGAGCCAACAGCACTAAGGATGTCTGACTGCCAACTCCCGGACTGTGAGAGGGTGCAGGCCAGGGTGAGGGACACCTCCCCCCACCCGAATTTTGTGCACTGGGCCTCTAGTCCTTTATAGTTCACTTTCTCTACACCTGATTACTGATCACACCATCATTTACCCTTCTGTGCTCCCATGGCTCTTGACATGTACCTTTAATGCAATGCTATCATTGCCTATCACTCACTCTTCTATCCCAGAGCACTGGATAAATGTTTGTTGGATTCATATATTTAGAAAACCACCACTGAATATCTGATAAAAGAAATGCACCAGTATATTGTTTAGGGCACTAGAGAAAAGCCAAATTCAATGTGCTGTTAACTCAATGACTTAATTATTTGCCCAGGATTATGCAGGATATGGAAGTGTAAGCCACAATCAACTAACCTCAGTGGGCTTTGAAGACCTAGTTGAAAGGAGAGTAAGGTGCACATGAAACAATTAAGAACCAGGTCAATAAACATTTTGAGTGCCTCCTAAGGGTAAAGTAGAAACATAATTTGTATAAAACAGACTACACAATGCTGCTAGTCAGGCCACCGAAGCTCACAGAGGCAGGAGAGGATATGGTAACCTGATCTCTAAAGGAGCCTTGTCAGATGCTGGGTGAGCAGGTGAGTGAGCAGGAAGGAGAGAGCAAGTTATGAGCAACTTTGGACCTTCTACATCCTTTTCTTCTTTGGCAATAATGAAGTCTAGATAATTCTAGGTATTTCCTATTGTCTAGTCTTGAATTTTACGAGGAATCTGTATTTTTGATTCATGACCTCTTTTCCCTCATGTGGCATTAATTTTTAATATCACTTAGAGAAATTGTATAGTTTGCAACATGGCTAAGACTATATACTAGAATATGCATCCTTCTTTTTTACTGGTTATTGCCCCCAATTGCCATGCTATTTCAGTTCTTGTGTCTGCTTTTCATAGTTTTTCTGCCTTCTCCCTTGCTCTCTTTTATAATTTTTTTCTGTTTTAAAAGGGATGGCTATTTCCAAATTCTCTGTTTAAAACTTGTGGTTAGCTGAGGAAACAGATTACTGATCTGTAATCATCAAACCACACCTGAAACATTGTACCCATCTCTAAGCATAAATAAGTGGAACCATAGTCCTAATAGAGTAATGGTAAAGCAGTGCAAGGAAATGAGGATGTTTAGTCTAAAAAGGAGACAACTTGGGCTGACATTATTGTTTTCTTCAAATACTGAAGGAGCTTTCACACTGAGGAGACATTTGACTCCTTCTTTGATACACTGAAAAAGAGAACCAAGAAAGAGAGATGGTGAAGTTTCAAGGAGGCAGGTCTCAGCTCCATTTAAGGATACCTGTCATTTTGAATAGGAAAATTTCTTGAAAGTTGACATTAGGTGGATTTTATAAGTTAGATGCAATCTTGAATGAAAGTGCTTTGGGCTCACGGAATAAAAATTTGATCCTCGGAGGCTGTTCAGAACAGTTGAATGCAGCACCTGCTGAGTAGTTTTATCACTGAAATTAGATTCCTGCCCTAGAGTCTAAGGCATTATTCTTCTCACTCTGGTGGCTGTGAAACGTTCCCTGGCTTGAGACTGACTTCCTGATATATGCAAATAGACCCTTCCCACTGACCTATCTTGTCAGGTGGAGTTTAGGAAATGAAACCAGGAGCATAAGTTGTGTCTGTGGCTATGTTTAACAGATTTAAAGAGGTTCGTGAATTAGCCAGGAAGGAAACTGTCTGCTCTTTTTATTTCCTTTAAAAAAGGATTCTTATACTCATAGATAAAACAATGTGTTGTTTTTGTATCTGAAAAGGCTGAGTGGACTGTGGAGGTAATGCAGCTTCTTTAAATAATGATGGGTCTTGTTTGGTTTGGACTGCAC